TTTGCCTTCTTGGAACCTCTCCACTAACACTTAAACTTTATGGTATGGTATTAAAGTTCAAATTGACTTTTAAGTATTATTACGAATCTTTTGTATGGAAGTATAGAAAAGTGTTGTATTTAGACTTTTTAGGCTATTTTTAATTTTTTTTTCTCTCATACTTCAAGGAATATTCTAAAAAAATAATTCATGAAATCGGTTCAGCTGCTCTCGAGATTTGCGCCTCATTTTTATATTACGGATAAATGTGTTTTTTTTATAGCTTTATTTATTTCTGCATTAATACGTATATAAAAATTGTATATATTTGGAACGGCTTACTTCTGCTAAAATTTCACCCTTCGCCACTGATACACACATATATATGATATAGGTAATCCCTACTATATACAAGCAACGTAACCCATTAAGGCCGTTCCTCTCTCAATCTATCTCAATTATTATAAAATAACATTCGTTGCTAATATTTTATTATTATATGTATTGTGTTTTATAATAATGATGCGAAATTATTGAACATCAAAAAAAGTCTATCATATTTATACAGCTTTCAATTTAAAGTGCCTTTATATGTTGGAAATGATTGATGATTACCTGATTAGGTATATTCTATGAGAACTTGACAGTGATATACGTCATTAAACATACTTTTAGTGACTCTTTTGCAATATTCTTACACATTTGTCTTTCAAACAGACAATGACCTTTTTTAACGTTGAAAAATGTATTTTTACGCATACCACCTACCAACTTTTTAAGAGTTTTGACTGATATTCTAGTCAAAACTGCTATTGACCAAGGCGTACAGTCAAAACTACTTTTGACTAACCTCTTTAGTCAAAAGTAGTTTTTTCTTTGACATATATATACATATATACGGTTGTACTACTTTATAATCATTTGTTGTTAGATAACGATTAGCACAAATCAAAATACAAAACGCTGTATGATAATGAAATCAGTTACAGTCTTTCAGAATTTCTTTCAAGGTTAAATTGTAATGATATAAAAATGAAATTAGTTTCAGTGAACTATATATTTTATTGCTCATTACAATTATATCTTTTACGATATTTTCTTAGATTTAGGTACTTACTCAATTTTTTGACAATTGAAATAAAATTATCTTTTCGGACTTTTTTTTTATTTTTTTTATTTTTGGCTCTCAACGTTTCGAATGTTTCACAGCAATCATGGATATAGGACAGACAAAGTTTGTGACGCTTCACAAGTTAATAATAGTTATTACAGACGGCGTCTGCCTAAAGAGTTATTATAAATTGATTTGGAAGAAAAGAGAAATACGAAAGAAAAAAAGAGAAAAGAAAAGTAAGTATATTACAATTTTCAAGTTATGTAATGCACTTTAAAAATTAGAAAGTATTTAAATTTAAAGTTTTTAAAACAGTATCGATAAATTGCTTTCATTCGAAGCTATAAAATATGTAGACTGCTAAATGTTCATGATGTAAGAAAATCTGGCGAAAGTTGCTACGCCGTAGCTCCTAATTTAATAGCTTTCAGGGTTTCTTACCTGAAGAAACGGACGGTAATAAGACTGTTCTTTATCGTAGGAAGCCGATTTTTTTTAATAGAAAATGTGTTATCATGGCGGTTGTTCAAAGCATTCATTTTAAAAAATTACAGGGACTTCTATACAAAGGTATATTTTTAGTAAAAACCGGACAAGCGCGAGTGTGACAACCTAGGTTTCTATTTCACCTTAAATAAAATGTATGATAACTAGACTGAAATAATTTATTAAGACCTGACTAAAATATATACGGACAGATCGATATGCCGAATGATCCTTATATGGGTTCCGTTTCTCCCTTTTAATATCATACTGTACATACTAGCTAATTGTGAATACGACTCACGCTAATAATATAATTTTAATAGGGTAATATTTTATTTATTAGTAAATATTATGGATTATACACAAATACCATGTTATAATTTTGTGTCAGAAAGTTTATAAATGCAAAAGCTTATGAGTGTTTTGAGAGTGTCTGTTACTTACACCGGAACGACTTAACTGTCTTGAGCTTAACTCGGAATAGAGACACCTACCTTAATCTTGGATTACCGCACGGCTACTTTTCACCCACGTACTACCGCGTAAGCGGACTTACGGGCACAAACTTTTCAAAATTAAACAATTCATAAATTAATATATTCTAACACAATATTGTGTGCTAGTACGAATTTATCGTTTGGCGAGCCTGGCAGGTGCTTGGTCGATTGATATTTTCATACGTAATCTTTTTAACCGAATTCCAAAAAAGAGGAGATTAAGACATATGTATGTATGTAGTAGTTAGTAAGTCAGTAGTAGCCCAGTGGTAACGCGCTCGCTTGGAAAACCGAGTGAAGCTAGTTCAAAATTCCGGGTCTCGCACCTTTGATATTTTCATGTGCGAATCATTTCCAACATGATTACCACTAGTATTAACGGTGAAGGAAAACATCGTGAGGAAACCTTCATGTCTGAGAGAACCTAGCAAGTTTTTAAAAGACATGTGAAGTCCGCCAACCCGCACTTGGCCAACGTGGTGGACTATGACCTGATTCCCCTCGTACTGAAGGGAGGCCCACCCCCAGCAGTGAGACGTCAGAAAGGGCTGAATACATGTATGTACATAGATTTTTAAGATACATATACATTGTACATATATGATAAGTAAATTTGGTAAACTAAAGCTGAGGCGCAGATGATCTAATTATTCACGTAGATAGAACATTTTACTTTCGCAACTACGAGTATCTTACCCTATTGGGTTTAAGATTGAACAAAACAAACAGAATATTTGAAGGACCACCTAAAACAACACTATGTAATCTATAACAGAATAGTTATGTTTTGTTTTTATAATAACGACAACATTTACCTAGCGATTTGAGTAGATATTGAATTCAAAGTGTTTTGTTAGGTTCTTGATCCCATTCATGTTATGTACCGAAGTTTATAACTTTCCTACGTTGGTCTTAATATAATTTTAATTTAAAACTATTTAATATGGTCTTAAATGTTGAACATTTAGCGCAAGATTAGTGATTTGCCAACTAACGATGAAATATATATTACAAAAAAAAAATAAAAAAAAACTACGTTTAAAAAACCGACTTCAAAAAATTTCTTAGAAATTTATCTGGAGGTGTTAAGTAAAACCTAAGAATTTGGATTTTGGTCATCTGAACGCGGGCGGAGCCGCGGGCAATGCAAGTGAAATTATAAATTATATTTAGAACCGTTGTTGTCATTCAACTCGGAACTATACGTATTGAAATAACCTTTGTTTGAAGTTTAGGTTTCTAATAGCAATATCGATTGTAGAAATCAACTTGTCTAAGGGGGCAGTTCCAATTACATCTAATGCTTCCATATTTGTAGGCTACCTTTGCACTTTATTTTACAAAGGCTATGTTGTCGATGTATTGCTAAGGCCTAAGGCGAGATACATTGCGGCTCTGAAGTTATTGCCAATTTCCAGTTAGAATTGGTGCACAATGTACCTACCTATTGGAGGTTTCATTAAATTTAGTAAAGAACAGTAACATTTTTAATATAAATCATATATTATCTATACTATGCCAATATCTTTACTAATATTCTACGATTTCTTGACTTAAACCTTGACTCTCATTTCATTATTTTGAATTCTTCAAAGACATGGTCGATAGTGATACAACTACTGCACTTGCTTGTATTTTCATTGGCATTCAACAAGAAATTATATGAATTGAAAGTTTTGGCGCTGGTCGAACTTTGAACTTATTGTTTAGAATATTCTCACAACCAGCAATCGTTTAGTAATTCTGTGTGAAAACGATTTTATAGACATACAGACGTCCACAAAAGAAACACTCTATTATCATACGACTAGATGGAAATACATAAGAAAAGGGACGTGGTTAGCGTCACTCAGAATACACTTGCGTGTCCGTTTGAACAATGGACAGCTTTCCCTAACACTACACAAAAACATATAATCTTACAGTTGGCTTACGTCTCACAATGTAGAGAATATTACGCAATGTAATTAGTTTTAATATTATTTTGAACAATAGCAAGAACATTAAGTTCAAAAAGAGTAATAAAATATGTACCTATATTTGTAGATAAATCACAATTATTTATGTACTAGCGACTCACCATCGCTCCGCTCGGATCCCTACGTACATTCTTCTCAGAAATGGGATATTTTCCCGCAATAAAAAGTATCCTATATGTTAAACCGGATAACTACCTATCATCTACCAAATTTCATCAAAATCCCTTCAGTAGTTTTTCCGTGATGCGGTAACAGACAGACAAACAGACAAAAATTTTAAAAACTATAGACTTGGCTTCTTTATCGATAATAATATCTATTTCAATAAGATTTTCCAAAAAATTATTTAGGAAGTGACTAACGAGACACAAAAACGCGAAGAAACGCGAAACGCGACACTCGAAAAACTCGAAAAACGCGACACTCGACGACACGCGAAACTCGAAAATCTGATGGAAATATGCGACGTTGCCGTATTTCTTATGCCACTCGAAGACACTCGATTACTAACCTACAGAAAATAATCAGAAGTTTCTTAACTCAAGTTAACACTAAACTTTGAGTGTTAACACTCAACTTTGAGTGATAGCACGACTACTCAGTGAAGTTGTTTTTAAAATAATGTTTATAAAATAAATTACAAATCAGTGAAATAAATTATAAGTACTTTAATTAAAATTTACTAAAACTGTTATTTGCAAGATATAATTTATTTTTGTTAAAATTATAATTGCATAAAAATTTTGTTTGAAAAACCTGAACGAAAACCATATCCAAAAATGAAAATATTAAGGAACACTGAACTTTGAGTGTTATACTCGACTGGAGTAAGGAAGCCACATTCTTTCATTGTTTATTTACAATTAAATGACAACTAAATTAAAATTACAATATTGTTATATTACAATATTCTTTCATAGAGTGTACATACACGTTACATCTCTAACTTTTAGAACAGCTACTACAAAACCAAGCAGTTGTTGGTTCTTTCTTAACGTTAACGCAGGGCCAATCGAACCAAAGAAGACATCGCTTACATGTAATCATTGTTTTTGTTAATCGTCGAGGTTTTTGACACGTACCACACTTGATTGTAATTCTTTTCCTTTTCTTTTCGACGATGTCATTCAAGCGTTTGTATGCCGTTGGTTCACAAAATTTTTCCAATGCTTGAATGACATCGTCGTCTGTATTCTTAATCGCATCCGTGACAGTTTTATCATCTACATTAAAACTCGCAGATTCTATTTTACGTTTTTTTGTCACAACATTTAGGATTAAATCATCTGGTATGAACCACGAAAGCATTTCGGATGCTTTTTCTTCATCGCTCAAATCCTCAAAAGCTATCAATTTTCGTTTGCTACTTCGCAACTCACACGAAAGCTTTTTAGCATTTTTTGGCACTGTCACCTCTTGTCTCGGTGTTCCAATAGCTGTTGGTTTTTTGGCCGTCGGTCGTCCCCTCGTCGTGATTTTTGTCGGTAAAGTTACGTCATCGTCGTTGGCAGAAAAATGAGACACAATTCCTGATTTAGTGATAATAGACACTTTGTTGCATGATTGTTGGCCTATTTTAGAGATATTATCAGATTCAGGTTCGAGATCAGATTCACTATCTAGATCAGAGTCAGGATCAAGTTCACAATCGAGATCAGAGTCAAAATCAGAAGGAGGTTCAGATGAAGTTTCAGCGGCAGGTTCAGTGCGAGGTTCAGATGAAGTTTTAGCGGCAGGTTCAGTGCGAGGTTCAGATGAAGTTTTAGCGGCAGGTTCAGTGCGAGGTTCAGATGAAGTTTTAGCGGCAGGTTCAGTACGAGGTTCAGATGAAGTTCCAGCGGCAGGTTCAGTGCGAGGTTCAGATGAAGTTTTAGCGGCAGGTTCAGTGCGAGGTTCAGATGAAGTTTTAGCGGCAGGTTCAGTACGAGGTTCAGATGAAGTTCCAGCGGCAGGTTCAGGGCGAGGTTCAGATGAAGTTCCAGTGGCAGGTTCAGTGCGAGGTTTAGATGAAATTTCAGCTGCAGGTTCAGTACGATGTTCAGATGAAGTTTCAGCGGCAGGTTCAGTACGAGCTTCAATGGCAGGTTCAGAATCAGCATCTTCTAGTGGAAACCATGGATTGATTTCCACTTCAAGATCAACCTCCCAATAGTTGATGAGGGCTGTCAGTGCCTCCATGCGAGGATCAAAGGTTTTGCTCTTCAAAAGACACGCTTTCAATTTCTGCAAAGATTGGTTTGCCAGCAGTTCTATAACAAAATAAAAATAATAAATAACAATACTCGAAACCTTTTTTGTTTCATTGATTATTCAAATATCATACCTTCTTGTGGCGTAATAATCTCTAAAGCAGATTCACTAGAGTCTTCATTCGATCCGCTAGTTGAAAGCTCCTTCTCACTAACTACAATGATCTCTTGTGATAGTGTTGTTGTTGAAGCACTAGCAATTGTTATGGGTGCAGGGGTGACGTTCTGAGTTACAATCGTAGGAGAACTGTGATCGTGTATGGGGTGGCAACTGTGAAGGACGTAAGCGTCTTTTTGCTTGGTTGCTTTGTATTTAGCATGCATTTCGCAACCAGTTTTTTGGATTTCGTGAAGCCAACCCTGAAGCTTGTCTGAAAATTAGGTCCATTATGACCGACAAGGATCCTTCTGAGAGAGCAGCCTTGAGGGAAATTTTTCCAGAAGTTAACCTCCTGATTTGCAGTTTTCACGTCCAACAAATTTTCCATCGACAAATAACTGTTGGAAAAAGGGGGGTAACGAGCGAGGAAAAAGATGACCTCCTTTTAATTTTGCGAAAACTAGTGTACAGCGAATCGGAGGAAGATTACGATGAAACGTACACTGAATTTTGTGAAGTTGCTCCAGAAGAAGTGATCGATTATTATAACACCAACTGGCATTCGATAAAAGACGAGTGGGTCCTGTATCGTATGAATGCTCACGGAAATTTGAATAATAATACAAATAATAGAGCAGAATCGACACATGCCAAGGGTAAACAAATAGTTCCACTACACAGCAGTCTGGTAGAGTTCGGCAAAAACATTTTTGTTTTCTTTCGGGCACAAGCGCGTCAAATCAAGATCAAAAGCGGAAAACTGATGACTACAAAATCAGCAGAAGCTTTTACAACCGCAGATGAAAAAAACTATTGTGAGTTGTTAACTCCAAAAGCCTTTGCCGAATTGCAACCAGAACTGCTGGAGTACCCTGACGTTCAAATCATGAGTAGCAATGTCGCTCAAAAAGAGTGTTCTTTCGAATTAAACGGAAGGACAATCACGAGTTCTTTAACTAAATGCAAATGTCTGAAAAATCGTTCAATGTTTCTGCCTTGCAAACATGTATTTGCTACTCGTGATTTCTTCGAGCAACCACTTTTTGATAAAACGTTGTGTGCAGAAAGATGGTTGAGAGGGTATAGTGTACAATGCGATACTGAAATTTCCAAACTCACACACTTCCCTAATTGTAGCCAATCCTCAAACGGTAGCGTCACACAAATTAGGCAGTCGAACGAACATGTCACACTGGAAAAACTTGCAAAGAAGTATGACACTTCGTTCAACTTGCTGGCTCACGTAGGCAGCTTGTCTGCGAATCAAAACTTGCAGAACAAGAGTGACTGTTTGCATGATGTGATGGATTTGTGGGCGAAAGGGAAAAATGTGCGACTTTCAAAAATAACAAACAATGAATTGAATGTTATTCAATGTACATTGAAGTTGAAGTCGACAAATGACAAAAGGCGTCATCTTTTTTGTATGAAAAAAACTCCTCGAGAAATTCAGTTGTCAGAGAAAAAAATCAAAATACTAAATCGACTGCTCTCACTGTGGAAGAAGAATGTTCCAGTTATTGCTAAAGAGTCAGATGGCGATTGTAGTTTAAATGATAGTGCGACCTTGAATACTAGCGAGATTAAAGTACCGGAACCAACTTTGATCAAAGGACGACCGAGACAAGCGTTCGATACGTACATTAAGTATAAGTAAATTTTAAGTATACGGATATTTGTATAATTTTATCGTTATTTGTATATGTAAATAAAACTTATAATATTGCAAGTTCATGCATTAATTTTTACCTAAAAGTTCAACATAATAAATAGTAGCTAAGTCCTAACAAACAGCCTCACTCAGAAGTCGTGTCAACACTCAAAGTTGAGTGTTAACTTGAGTTGAGAAACTACTGACAATTTTGTGTAGGTTTTAAAAAATGTACTTTAAAAAATGTACAATTATAGTTCAATAAATTTATTAATAAACATTTGTAAATAAATCACAAAACAAACAAGTGCTCGATAACGAATAAATTACAAAAAACAAGTGCTCGAATGAACGGAAGAAAATAAAAAATAAATACATTTTCTTGGTCGTTAATTTTTCGAATGAGAATTTCAACGCATACAGACGTAAAAAGTAAATTCAATAAATAAATTTTCTGTATAAACTTGAATGAACTTATTGAATAAAGTGATAATTTATTTCACTAACTTATAATTTATTTTATAAACTTTATTTCAAAAACAGCCTCACTGAGCAGTCGTGTTAACACTCAAAGTTGAGTGTTAACTTAAGTCGAGAAACTACTGATTATTTTCTGTAGGTTAGTAATCGAGTGTCTTCGAGTGGCATAAGAAATACGGCAACGTCGCATATTTCCATCAGATTTTCGAGTTTCGCGTGTCGTCGAGTGTCGCGTTTTTCGAGTTTTTCGAGTGTCGCGTTTCGCGTTTCTTCGCGTTTTTGTGTCTCGTTAGTCACTTCCAAATATTTAATTTACAGATTCGTCTTAGTTACAATTTTATTATATGTTTAGATTTACGTGATTCTTCTTTAGTTTGATGCGGAATAGTTGCCATTTAGTTCTATTAAAATACAAATCATTTAGTTTATGATAATATTACAGTATCTATAGTAAGTATTATAATTGAATGAAGCTTCGCATTTTTAGTTTCAAGTAATTATTTTACAAAGAATTTAATTTACGGTACTAAAAATAATAATACATACCTATAAGAAAATATTTGTACTTAGTTCTTCTATTTTAGTACGACATTACCTATCTTAATTAGTGGGCAGCCCTAAAATATTAATCATTTCGACAAATGAAATAAAGAGGTCGTAGTAATTAAACAGAATAAATATGTAACATTAGTCTATTTTTATCCATGTTAATGCTTTTATTATTTCTTATAATAATCATTAAGCGGTCATATCAAAATATGAAAACTCAATAAATAAAATATTTCTCTAGCCACCCATTCGTTCCTATTTAGGACAGTAAAAGTTTTTTTCATAATAATTTTATACGGTTGGTAAAGACGATGACGTGTATTAGAGTTAGGCGTTGCGTAGGGGAGTATGTTATGTTGTCATCAATAATACTATTTCAAAACGCCTAAAAAGTGTTTGATTTTATAAAAGCCGAGGTTTTAAGGATAGATATTATACGATTATGCACTCGCATAATATTTATCTATTCTTATCTATACTAATATAATAAAGAGGTAAAGTTTGTGAATTGTGAGTTTGTGACGTTCTAGGGGGTAATCTCTGGATCTACTGAACCGATTTAGATGAAATTTCGTAAGATAGTTTGTGACCCTGGGAAGTACGATACCCTAGAAGGTTCATAAATAAAAAAGTTATGTCAGTTTAAAAAATCATCGAGGAACGATCCCGAGCAATGCAAGGGGGAGTCGCTAGTTTATACACAAACAAGGACTATCGGAGAAATGCTATTTTTTTTATTACATTAAAAAAGTGTAACTTTTTTATATAATGAAATATAATAATTTGACAGCTGAAAATTTTCAAATAGAAAAGAACTGCACAAACTTCATCGAAGGTGTATCAAAATGAATATCATGTTTAAGAGGAAATTAAATTTTCCAACGTGAATGGTTTTCACTTGATCAACTATTGTAAGTTTTTTGTTTTTTTATTCTACTAGCATTGCCCGCGGCTCCGCCCGCGTTCAGATGACCAAAAACTAAATTCTTAGGTGTTACATATTAGTATACTCTTACATTGCAGTTTTTGTATTTTTCCTCAGAAATAAGATATTTTCCCGCGGTAAAAAGTATCCTAGGATCGCGCGCTACATCGCCCGGTTTATATAGCTTGAGCAGGCGGTCGAGCGATGCGGGGCAGAGGGGATGGACTCGCCGTAGGCATCTCAATGCTCGCCAAGCATTAAAAATGTTTCGCTACTAATTACTTCTAACAACGATATCTCAAAAACTATTCATCTGATTGATTTAGTGTAAAGAGCAATTTTAATCTGCATTAAATGACTAAGCTAACTAAAATATTCATTTGGATAAGGATTAATACCGAACTAAAGAAAATAACTTTGAAAATAACGTAATGTTTTTAATTAAAAATGTTAACATAAAAGTGGTTATTGTAAGTCAACCGTAAGAGATAGAGATATGCTATCGCGGACTTTTTGTAGCATTTTTATAGATTTTGAATTCTCTAGTACATTACTTAACTGTATCTTTGCTAGTTTACGCGGCGTTCGCGTGGAAAGTTCCCATTTGGCGAGATTTTTTGCGACCTCTTCAACATTTGTCGCCGTATTTCAGCTAATTTACATAAAAGCATAATAAATTATATACCTAAACCTTCCTCAAGAATTACTCTTTCTATTGTTGAAAACCGTATAAAAATCCGTTCAGTAGTTTTCGAGTTTATCGCGTACAGACAGACAGGAGGACAGACAGGAGGACAGAAAGACGCGGCCGGGGGACTTATTTTTATAATAAGTATAGATTTAAACCATGAAAAAATATGTTTTCTTAGATAAAATAAACACCAATATATACATATAATAAAATTGTAACTAAGCCGAATCTGTACATTAAGTTAATATTTTTTGGAAAATCTTATTGAAATAAACATTATTATCGGTAGAGGGCGAATCTATAGTTTTTAGAATTTTTGTCTGTTACCGCATCACAGAAAAACCATTCGAGGGATTTTGATGAAATTTGGTATGGTGATAGCTGGTTATCCGGGTCAACACATAGGATACTTTTTACCCCGGGAAAATGTCTCATTTCTGAGAAAAACTAAAAAAACTGCAATTTAAGAGTATACTAATATGTAAACCCTAAGAATTTGGTGTTTGGTCACGCGGGCGTAGCCGCGGGCAATAGTAGTCTAATAATATATGTATTTCTTTTTTAATTAATAGTTAGGAATCCCTAAACTTAATATAATTTTAAATTAAAATGTATAGTATTTTATGATCTGATATAAAAATTCTAACTGAGTCTAATCTGTAAATAATAAATATCTTTTGCAAAATCTTATCAAAATAGTTATTATTATCGATACAGACGCCGAATCTAAAGTTTTAAGAATTTCTGTCTGTCTGTGTGGAAATGCATCACGAGAAAACCACTATACTTATTTTGAAATTTGGTATGATGATAGCTGGTTATTTTGGTCAACATGTAGGATACTTTTTACTGTGGGAAAATATCTCATATCTGAGAAATCTACACTAAAAAGTAAGGACGAACTCGAGCGGAGCGATAGCGAGTCGCTAGTTTAAAAATAAAAATGCGATCTAAAATCATGTCAATATGGTAAACTATGGTAAGCTAAACATGTCAGTATAATCGAAGAAATAATTTTCATTGAATTAGACTGAAATAGAAGTTTAAATCTATACTTTATCCATCAGTTTATTTATGTATTACTCAAAAACGATGGGTTTACGATACTGCAGTTTTAGCCAGTTTTTAGTAAGTTTTTCAGTAAAGTAGTAGTTTTTCATATTTATTGAAATTACTTATAGATTACAAAAATATGTTTAGGTTGCATGAATCTGGGAGCGCTATCGTAAATGGAAAATGACTTCCTCGAAACCCAGACTTAGTTAATCAAACGTTAAAACTTTTGAGTTTGCCAATTAAGTTATCAGTTAAGATTTAGGTACTCCCCGTTTCTAAATAATTAACTTACGTAACATATTATACTTGTAAACTTGCTAAATAAATCTTATGTGCAATGGTATTTAAATTATGTATACCTAATATTTAACATAATGTTTTGATCAGATTAGCATATTCTTTTTCTGTTGTGTTATACTTTCGTCTTAATTATTAAATATATATATTCCTAGGGGAAACTTTAATGATATATTCTACCTACATCTTAACTCAAAATGGATTTTAAAATTACCTAACGATTCAACCTTTAGGGATTCATTTTTATTAATTTGAAAGGCCTATACATGAAATGAATAGATATTTATGTCATGTTTCCATCAGAATATGATATTAGCAACAAAATAAAATTAAACTGTTAATCAGAACCTTTAAAAATAAATCACAAAGACTCGGACGAACACTATTAAAAGCTCGAGTGACAGCTTCTATGTATTAATAAAGTTTGCTATAATCAAATACTGACGTTGGTAAAGGCGGCATATTTTATTATATTTGAAGAAGCATATTTGCGATCAGCGCCGCCGGATATTAAGACCCGATTGCAATGAGTTAGGGAATTTATGATGTTATTTCTAAATCAAAAGCTGCCTACATCATTTGATTTGTTGCTTAATTCACCTGATTTGAGAATAGATTGGCATTGTAACTTTATATACCTATCTGTATTCCGTTTATAGAAAGTAATGTATCCTTATTGAATCAATAATGCCAACACGCACCAGCCACCAGATATCTGGACCTAGAGTTGAATTTTACACGGAATTTTTCTAATTGTAGGATTTAAAAAAAATTGATTCCTTGTATTCTGCCATGTTTAACCTCCCACTGCTGGGCACGGACCAGTACCCCCCTCGTATGGAGAGGGCCCGTGCCCAGGAATCAATTCATAGTCCACTGCAGGTTTCCCCATGATGTTTTCCTTCACTGTAAGACAAGTGGTGATCATAATCGAAAATGATTCGTACACGAAAATAGCAGAGGTGCGAAACCCGGGATTTGATTTCATAGGATTTGACAATTCCT